TAAGAGAGAACGAGGTTCTCTTTGACTTGGGAAATCTGAGCTCTAGTTAGTGAAAATACGCGGGGAAGCTCCCTTGGCCCCTTTCACAGTTCTCGCAGTAGCTATAGGCCTGGGGTCACATATAACTTGAAAATACATGTTGTTGAGCCCAGTGTATGTGTGTAGGGGGAAAGTCTACCAAGAAATAGAACTTTAGGTGCCTCTTCTATTTTTTTCTGTATGGAAAAATGAAAATATTGATTACACGATTCCTTGACCACCTGAGGAGCTGCATAATTACTGCTCTTAGTAGCCCCACACATTTTTTTTGGGCTATTGATCCACTAGTTTGCTAGAACTGTGTTAACTTCTCATGTGGACACACAAGCACAAGTGAGTATTCTCTGAGCTTTATACATAGGCAACAATTTAATTTAAGAAAAGATCTAAAGCTGCTTTCCAAAAGAAAACAAAGTATTATTCAAAAAAAAAAAACACAAACCTAATTTAACTGCATAGTTATGATTTTCCAGTTATTGAATACTTTTAAGGTTGGATGACGGCTTCAAATGAGAATAACTTAACCGTTCACTGCAGCTGAAAGAAGTCTGCTCCCATGACTAACCTTGGGCCAGACCTCCTGCTCATCAGGCCCTTCCAGAAGCCATTTAAACTCTCTAATCTGGCCACGTTATTGAGTTAAAGCTGCTCACTGTAGAGTCTGACAAGTTCCAGAGCCAGTGTGAGAGATGGATGTGACTGGGAGCAGAGGAGGGAAAGGGAGGAATAAATGAGCAGGGCTGGAGGAGGGAAGGAGGTACACGTGATGGTTGAGACCTCTTCCTTTTAGTGCCAGCCAGCTATTTAGCTGCCTGGGAATCTGCAAATGTACAGCTGGGAAACCTGGCAATACCTTCTGTCCCATGCTGTAACATTAACAGTGCTTTAACTTGCCTCTAATGTAAACACTGGCAGCTTAGCCTTTCAGATGTTACAAGAAATCAAGGCACATGAGAACTCCATGGGATAAAAACAAATCTTAGATTCAGGTCAAGCAGTTCTGCCTATGCCTGATTTATGTTGGGAAAGCCAGAGTTTATCCAGACTCCCCTCTTTCCAGACTAACAGTATCTCTGAAGAGAGCAGGCTGCGCAACAGTACTGATAACTTAGAGAAATCAAGAGTGAAGAAACACGTGGTGCCTCAGAGAACGTGCATTCCTCTCTCCAAATTAGTGTCAGGTCTTCATTCTGCTCCAGCAGATTCTACAACTGTTGAGTACGGCCTTGTAGAGCACGATAAATGTAGCTGTAGTACAGACACTATATGCTAAACTTTAGAGTATGTCGAACTATGGCACATTCCTTTTCAATCTTCTGTATTTCACTTTGTCAGGGAATTATGTAGAACTGTAAGATTGACCGTAAGGTTTAGCTTAGTGTAGGGATGGTTGTATTCCCCAATACCACTGTCCTCAAAGTGTTAATAAAGAGTTGAACGTGCACTGTTTGGGGAGCTCGTAGGACATAATGTTATCGTTGTGGCTCTGGATTTCCTCTGCATCTCTGTGGAGCAGCATTCTCAGGAAAAAGTAGAACTATTCAATTAGAGATTTATATAAATGAAATTTGTTACACATGTTTGAGAGGCTTTGCGTTTTGGAGGGAAGGTTTTTCTTTTTTTCTTTTTGTCCTCTCTCCTCTCTGAATTGTGTAGTTGAGAGGAATTTTTATAGACCTAAATTCCAGTTTCTGCTAATGAAGCAGGGATTATGTTAGATATTTTGGCTTGGAACAGTAGATCTTGGGTAAACAGTTTGAGAATGAAATATCCTCCTTTTCCCTGCAATGCTTTTAAATGTATGAGATAGATATTCTGAGGGAAGAGGTTATTGTAGTCTCACAGGTAGTGATACGACAGTGGTTGTATTTCAAGTATGAAGTAACTGATGAAGTAACTGTGTTTGCAAAAATCTTTCCCCCATCTGTATTTTGGTTCATGCTCAGAATTACATTGATAACCTGGTAAGTTTGAAAGCATTTAAGCTTTTCCAAATGAAACTAAATGCTTTTTCTCCCTTCTTTTGCATATTTCGTTTGTGTCTCTGACTTCAGTGTTTCTTGAGCTGTTTATGAAATTTGCGGAAAAGCAGTTATCTTGAACCTCAGCTGTGTGGTTGGTCTAAGTCTTCATGCTAAATGGAAAATGGTTTAAAGTCATGCCACAGCTGCTGTGCTATTAAAGCTAAAAGTCCCTGGAGCTGATGTAATTATAGGGGCATAGTTTAGTTTATTCATAGAACTGGAATAAACTATTGCAGGATGATTTTTATTTTGATGTAGAGTTGTCTAACTTCAGTTGTGCTCAGATAGCTAAAGTAAAACATAGTTTTACTATGACAAGACCTGACCGGTCAAGCGCTCTATCTGACAAGTGAAATTTCCCAAATCACTTGATGGTTTCCATGGTACCGCTCAACATTCCTGGGATAAATGTGCTATATATCAAGTAGGGATTGAGCATGAAGACAGGTCATGTTGATAAAGCAGGACTAGCTTTCTGTTTCTTTATTTATGATAGCTGCACTTTAACTTTTTTTCCTCTTGTAAATGTCTCTGTTTTATGATTGCTTCTATGTATGGATGTATGCATAGAAAATAACCTTTTTCCTTTAATGATACAAGTAACAAAGCTGATTAATGGCAGGCTTTTCTCTTGGGAAAACATGTCTAATTGAGATAGATCAGATCACTCATGAAATGGAGCGATGCTGTGGGGCTGCAGAGATGCAGCCTCAGTTATTCTAATGTCTAAATAAAAGTGACTAATACAGGTTTTTATATGATATTAGTTGCTTTTAACTAGTATTAGGAATACACAGATGATGCCTTCTAGTTCTTGAAATGTCTAGGTCAATGTTTTGGTCAGTGAAACCTCAGCTAGCTGACCATTGAATAAATAGATAGTACCAGTTACAAAAGTCCTGTAGTTAGGGGTATTTAGGGTATAAATGGACTTTCGGTGAGGGGAGAAATAAAATTAGTCTTGACTTCTGTTTGAAGATGGCTATCAGCTTGTGGTTAGTGTCCAAAAAAGAGAAAAAAAAAGGATGTTGGTTTCTTAAGTTAGCCTTTTTGGATGTTGTCCTCAGCATGTCACTGTTATTGCGTTGTTGCTATGCTACAATACTTATTCATGCAATCCATTGTAGAACGCTAGAAGATCTGAGTTAAAACATTATGTAACTTCCAAATGTTTTTACAGCTGCTCTGGGTTATTTTGCAGGGTGTAGCAGCTCCTGTCTTCGATATCAAGAGGTTTGCAGTTATCTGAGAGAAATTAGATTTTTGCAAGGTTTTTATTTAAAAGATGATATTAAAATTGCAGAGTTAACATTCAGTAGTATGAATTGTTCTTTATGAGGGAGGAGTAATTGCAAGTCTTTTCCAAAGCTCACTGAAGTACTTGTGATCACTTAACAATAGGATCAGAACTGTAAGATGGCAAAAGGGAATAAATACAAATATTCTGGTATTGGAACTTTGCAGGTAGAAGAAGCAGTTGGAATGGAAGTGCATCAGTCCATTTTGGCAATTATTTTTTTGCTTATATGGAAGCTAAACAGTTCTAGCAGATAACTGCTGAATATTAAAACCACTGCAAACTGTTGTTGTCCCAGCCACTAAGTGGGAGATATTTTGGTAAGAAATGTCAGGAATTGGCATTATCAGAGTGGCTGAGTTGCTGAACTTACAAATTTCATGTGAACCTGTTTCTTCAGATTAATTCTGTTTAAAACAGCAAAAAGAAGCCTGAGTTCTTTTGGTTTTCAGAGTTAAAACTGAGACTTTCCAATATCAGTAGACCTTCTTTTCTCTTGCAAATTTCTTTCTAGTAAAACAGCAGTAATAATGACTACCAGAATGAATGACTGAAGCTAAAAGATTAGATTGAAAGAGCCTGTTCATCAACAGGTGTGAAAGCTCTTCACTGGGAAAGCATGCCTAATCCTAGATAAAATTCAGAAAAAAAAATATAAAATATATATTTTATATATACATTTTTTTCCACCATAACAAAAGCTTTCCCAACTGGCTGGTAGATGAGATGGGAAACCAGAGTGGCTTAGAAGAAACCCAACAGGCAACTCTAACCAGAAATGAGGACACTTGAGCCCTCTGAGTTCATACTACTATGTAGTATCAGGACGATTTTGTTATCGTCCTGAGCAGTTGAATAGTTACATTTTGAATAGTTGCATTCTATAGATTTGCTACGCTTTCTGAAATATACAGTACCTAATCCATCTGCTATAGATCTAATGTGAAATACTGTTGGAGGAAATTGTATTTCCCAGGTTTTAGATGGACTGCCCTCTAAAATAGATATGCCAAGTTGTAGGCAAATATTTTTGTTTAATAGCCCCAAAAAGCTGGACAACTCTCCAAGACTAAGACTGTAGTACATTATCTAGACCAAGGCATGAAAATTCAGGATTAATCCTTTTGAAATATTGAAGTTGATTCTTAAGAGAAACATTTGTCACATGATGTCAAAAGTATGTGTAGTATTTTGCATTGGGGTAAAAAGACAAAGTTCCTTCCAAGCAGATTTTGTGGCTGTTAAGCAGGTTATGTAATAAAGTATTAGGGAACAGAATGAGACAAATCGGATGAATGAGAGGTTAGGATGACGCACTGTTTCTGGGTATGACTTTTTTTTCTGTGGGTGGGTTGGTACTTATTGCACAGCTAAATATTTTACCTAAATTCCCTTGATGATTTTTATTTTTTTTAAAAATACTGCCGTATTTTTAGTCATAAATGAATGCTGGATCCTGCATTCTAATGTACTTAAACAAGCATTTATTTTCAGTTGTGACAGTATTGCTTGCTAACTTGCCTTCCATACAAAATGCTATTCCTTGAATTAAAAACATTACAGTAGACAACAAAACAGACTTAGAAATCCGATTTTATTTCTGCAGACTTAAGTGTTTTTTTTCCTCTCCGTTTGTAGATGCCACCTCCAATGAGCAGCAAGATCTCTTCTGTCAGAAGTTGCAGCAGTGTTGTGTGCTCTTTGACTTCATGGACTCTGTTTCTGACCTGAAAAGCAAAGAAATCAAGAGAGCAACATTGAATGAACTGGTTGAATATGTTTCAACAAATCGTGGAGTGATTGTTGAATCAGCTTATGCAGACATAGTAAAAATGGTGAGTGGAGTTTGGAATTCAGTGCTCTTCGGAAATTTAAACTTGAACTTCAACTTCGGCTTTTTGAACTTCAATAATTTACAGCTATAATGGCATCCAACTGCATTGCCATTGGTACATCTGCATATGATGTACCAATGGCGTCATATGTTCATAATAAAGCATTGCCATTGGTACATCTGCATATGAAACATGGCGTCATATGTTCATAATAACTTGACCTATAGAACTGTGTAGAAAGACTTTTAAAAAAATAAGTCTTTAATTATTAGTTGGAATACAATGCATGCAGGATAGTGAAAATTTAAAACTAGTTTACTGCAGGCACCAGCGTTCTGGATAAGCTTTGAAGTTGTACTCATTCAGAAAATGGAAGTATGCCAGTGCTGCATGCCTCTGTTTATTTGGGAATGGCAGTGGAATGAGGGGCTGCAGCTCTCCAGCAAAGATGCTTGCGGATACTAATGTCAGCAGAAAGGTTTATCAGTGCAAGAAGCTGATCTACTTTGTAAATACTTTATGTGGCTCTTTGGCACTGTTTGGGCCTTGGAGCACTATGCTTGAGTAGCATGAGTGGTTTGCTCAAGTTGTAAACCACAGGGTGAGTTGTACTATGCAATTTCTGCAAATGGCTTGTTGAATAAGCACCGAAGTATTTGCGGTCATTATCTGCTGACTTTCACTGGCTTTTGTTATTCATTCTGATATGTTACATAAGGGGTGTTTGATATTTCACGTGCAGGGGATGTAACTGAAGGACTTCTTAAATAACTTCTAGAATATTGTCAATTCTGTCTTGTCTAGACAGTTGAAAGGTTAAAAACAATGTGTTTGGGGCTTGGGTTCTCTAAATTTTGGGTTGATAGACATGCAACACATTAACTTAAAATTAGCTACTGAGTATGTACACAGACCAGTTTCAATCATGTGGCCCGCAACTTTTCTATAGTGATAGTTTCCTATATAGTGGAATCCAATGTGGTGAGCAACTGATATACGGGATTTTACCTTTGCTATCAGGTAGATAAGTGTAGAAATCTTACCATTTTATAGACAGGCTAGAGTTATAGAAAAACATTTAATAACTCATTTCACTAGCTTGTAACAAGCTTCAGAGAAGATCTAGGGCACAGTTCCTTTTTAAAAGGAGCTGGCTTTTTGTGAATGTCCCTTATGCAAAAGCGTCAAGGATGGAGTGCACCCACCTATTCCATGCTTGGTTGGGAGGTTGGGTTCTTTTGTTGGTCTTTTAGTTGCTGCTTTGTTGGTGTGTGTTTGCTTCCCCTCCCTGCCCCTGTTGCTGGTGGCAACATGCCTGAATCCTTGCGGTCTGTTCTTGTCCTGTGTCCTCTACAGCCTTTTAGAAAAGAGTTATACTGTCATGCTTGTTGAAGGGAGAAGAGATTTTCTTCTCCACCGGAGTTGTTTCTTCTTGGAGCTAGGGTGTTGGGCTGTTCTTTTGGGTTTACTGTTGTGCAAGTGATTAGGCTCTGTGAATACTTGTTTTTCTCTCCATCAGATTTCCACCTCCTTTTCTCCCCTAAAATGATCAAAAAAAAAAAAAAAAAAAGTGAAGAAGGTCTTAAATACTCAGTGAGAGCTTTGCAGAGCTTGAGACAAAAGATCTCTCCAAGCCTGAATAGTGTTTCTAGTCTCCCTGGCAACTGGCAGCAGACAAGATCTTTGCCCTGAACTGGGGATAAGTACCAGGCTTCAGGAAGTGCTCTGGATGGATTTCTCCTCCCAAACAACACTGTGGCAGGCTTGAGGATTTCCTTTGTATCCTTTGTAGCAAAACCTCCAAGAGTCTTGAAGGACTTTTTTTTTTCATGTACTATTTCCTTTTTTTTTTTTTTTTTCTCTTCAGTGTTGCACCATTAAAAAAAAAAAAAAAAAACAAAAAAAAAAACACTTTCTGCAGAGTTTGAATGATGGGATAAGAAGAGAAATCAATCTCAGTGAAACCTCCTTCCTATCCGACTTGTAGTCAAAGTTGAGCAGGTTACATGGAGGTTCCCTTAAAATGGCCAGAACAGGCTCAGTAGCAGAAACACAGCTAACTCCTCTGCAAAGCCCCTTGTCTCTCCCTAGGCCTGGGACCCCTTTCCTTCAGCTTGCAGAGGAAGCTGCACAGTTTCATTGGAGTCGCCTGAGTCTGAGAGAGGCAAAGTCATCTCTCTCTTACAGATATCAAGAGGAAAAATATTGTTGTTCCTGACCAGTGCATAGGCAAGGTCTGTGCAGGCGAGGAGCGCTCCTAGCATTGCTTTCCTTCCCATGGTCTCTGCAAGCAGGGCAGCTGCAGAGCTGATGCTGTACGATCGTGTCTAGTGTAATTGTCCCTACTTTGCTATCATCCTGCACTCGTTGAAGTGGTAAAATACATTTCTAGCCACCATGGATGGAACCAGGTCCATAAAGACTATAAAGAATTCATTTTTATTTAGGCAAATGAGGAGGATACATGCTTGTTTCTCTTGTCCCAAGAACTTGAGGGTCCCTTTGCTAAAAATGCTTGAACCAAAAGCTAGGAAGGAGATTTGCTTACCAATAGTTTCTGAAGGGGCAGCCATGGCTGGTGCGCCTCCTTTCTAGGTCATCTAAAAGTGGTATGTGTGCAGTGTGAAGCTAACAGCAGGTTAGGGTTTGGCATTGCAAATGGTAACTTCTCTGAAAACTTTCTGGAAAGTTAGGGAGCTCGAGACTTTGTTGGGTTTGGGAACATAACAGACGTGTTCCTCTTCTGTGCCTGCCAGCCTCTTCTAATTTCCAACCTTCATATAAGATCTAATGTCAGTGATTTTCCTAGCAGCCTGTGGAATTCTGAACTTCAAAACACCTGCGGGTGTCCATGTCTGAATGCTAAAAAAGACTGAGATTGAGCCCGGTACCTCTCCAGATGTCTAGTTCCTTTAAAAAGTATACAGCCTATGAGGGACTCTGTCATTAAAACAATACAAAAAACTTGGAAAACCTGCACATTAATGTGTTAACTACTCCTCCAATGGTTCAGTCTAGAAGTTGTACATTTTAAGATGTTGCTTTCTCCAAACTTTGAGGTTTAGAAAACAATTGTTGATTTTTCTTGTAAAGTTGTCCAGCTGTAAAAGCCTTTTATCACTTGTGTTTCTCAAAACACTGTTTGAATCAAGACACCACTTATTTAAAACATCCCCTTTCAGTTATAGTAGGAGAGAGAATTACGAAAGAATTTGCCCACAGAACAATAGTGGGATTTTTAACCCAAAAACATTTTCAAGAAATCCTATTAGCAAAATGTTAGTAGAAGCAGCTCAGATGAGGAATAAAATTATTTCAAACACAATGAGTAATTGAACCAATTCACCGAGGAGACTGGCTAATACAGAAATATATATATTACATTTTGTTCCAAGTTTCAGAATCCTAAAGAGACCTATAGTGCTAATACAAGTACTGAAGACCCTGAAAAATCATCAGGCTACTTTTCTAAAGCTTCAGCGGAGAATTGCTATTTACTGCTACTCTGGGAGCATGGTCAGACTTGGACTTGGAATTTATATTCTGGAATAAAACTTGTTCAATGAGGTGGTTTTGGTGAAGAGTTGACTAGCTTAGTAAGATGCAACTAGAAATAAAAAAAGATGCATTTTGAGGAAATATTAGCAGAAGACAGAAGCAGAGGTAAGGGCTTCCTATGGAAGTTGCAGCAGGGGACTAATTTGAATCCTGGGTGTTTATCACAGATGTTTTTATTGGATAATTAATAAGCATACACATAATAACCACAGATCTCTTCTTTGATAGCTTTGGCTTTGAGATTTGATTAAAAGCTAAATTCTCTTAAACTTCTCCCTCTGCTCTCCCCCCACCTGAGCCATCTTTCCTTGTACCCCAGAATCCTAAATCCTCTATTTTTACATTAAACAGCAAACTAGATTTTTTTTTCCCTGCTGTGCAATAAGCGAGGTCACCTTGCTCTAACCCCCTTCCATGCAGAGCATCCCTGGCCTTCTCTAGGGCATCAGTGCCAGCAGCTTTAGCACGTGCCAACAGAAGACAGCAAAAGCTGGAATGAAGGGCATGGGGGAAGTGGGAAGTCAGTTATTTATCCAAAGGCATTATATCTTGGTAACTGAGGCTGCTGATCCTTCTGTGCAGAACCACCTGGATGAATTCAGGATCTTTTAGGTCCCCTTGCAAGGTCCTTCCAGAGACCTTGGAGATTCCCTGGAAGTTGTGTGGAAGCGCCGGCTGCAGCCGGTCAGGTACCTGGTTGTGTTTAGTTGGCTTGGGGGTAGCAGCTTGAAACAGGCTTGAGCCTAAAGAATTTGCAGTTGATTGGAAAAAAGTGGCTAAACCAGTCTTTGCAAGCAAGGATAGGAAATGCAAAAGAGGAAATTAAACTTACATTCTCTATTGGATTTTTTTAAATCTATTTAACACCAGCACGTAGCGTAGCGGGTGAGACGATGCTTTTTTTGACATCTGAAAGATTGGTCTTCTATGCAGACTTGTAAGCACTGAGAAAATTGCTGAAGAAACATCTCCACCCCTTTGAAGTTGTTTTGATAAGACTAGATTATAGTTAAAGTGGTTTGGTAGCCATTTTTCTTAACTTTTCTAGGTTGGTCTGTCTTAGATCTAAATTTTACATAACAGTTGTAAGCTTGGTTTTGACTTCCCCAATCCTTAAGACATGTTGAAATTAAGGAAAGTGAAGAATCATGAAACTAGGTATATTTTTGGGATTGTCTCTTACATTTAAAGAAAGTTCTGCTTAAGACCATAGTTAGTATTCATTGTATTTGGTGTTTCATATAAAACGGTAGCTTTTGGAGACAACTAATAAAAAGAAAATTTCAGTCTCCTTAAAAACAAATTCTTCATTTTAATGGAAAAAAAAAATCTTAAATATGACCCGTGTCTCTCTAAAATCGTAACAGGCAAGAAAGTTTTCTTGTTATTTCCCATGGGTCTGATTCAAACATCTGAGTGTTTGAATTTAGCAGGAAAATTAGAAAAGTTGAAGAATAAAAGTCCAAATAAATGTAAAGCTGATCTTACTTTATTGAAGTATAAGCTAAAAGCAGTGTACTGCTTGCAGTGGGCTGCGGAAGGTTAAATGATACAATTAAACTTTTTTTTTCCTTTTCCAGATTAGTTCTAATATTTTCAGAACACTTCCACCTAGTGATAACCCAGATTTTGATCCAGAGGAAGATGAACCAACTCTTGAAGCCTCATGGCCTCACATACAGGTCTGTGATTCTTTTATTTTCAAGTATTCTTGTAGGGCTAGAACTGTGAATGGCTGTGAGCAATATTGTACTTTTCTTTTTTTTTAATATCAAAATTGCTTTTTACAAGAATTTAGTGCCTGTATATGGAAAAGAACAGAACTGGTGCTTTTGTTATATGTACGACCGAATGTTATTCCTGTTATGAGTACTTTTTAGAGGTATTGAACTGTTAAAATGTGGTGTATGTATGTCTTAAAGTACATGGATATTTGGGATAACTATGTTCTTTATACAAGATGCCAGGTTTCTGGTTTTGTTTATTTTCTGTGAAATCTAGCTGGATGTTACCACTCGCTCTCTTGCAGCAGCAACAAAAAGCAGCGATAGCATTTATAAGACAGCAATAGCCTATGTATAGCTTACAAAAACTCCCCATCTCCTCATTCCTCTCTCCCCAAACCCCTCCCTCCCTCAAAAACTTGACAATATCGGCGTTGTTGTTTGCTAACAGTTGGTCACTTATTTCATTGTTGCGCTCCTCTACCAATCTCGTGATTTTTATAGCATTGCGGTATCAACCACGTGATCGACTTGCACTAATGCTGTGGCTTTTGTTTTTTGTTTTTTTTTATCAACTGTTAAAAGTTGAACAATCATAAATCACTTGATCACTTGTGATCCAAGCTCATATCGTGGGTAATTTCTTGCTGAAAAAGTAGCGTCCGTTACATAAAACTTGTTACGGAGCAGCTGTGACAAGTAGAAGATGAGTAGCTGCTGCACATCTGCCTGCCATCCCCTCTGAGGGGCTCAAAATGTTACTTTGTGGCTGTAATTTTACAGTTTTAATGTAACAGAGAATACCAACATTAAAAATGAGGTTTCTATTTTTAGCTACAAAGCGAGTTTTCAGGGCAGTATTTGAAACTTAAACCAAGTAAGAAAAGGTTACTGCAGAGAATAACTAACTATTCTGGGGTGTCAGCATCCATTCCCTGCACGTCAAAACTCCTCATTACTTTTGGCGTGCTCTGAAGTTCTCCTTGCTATTTTTTCTCTTCCTGCTTGCAGTGAGTTGTGCTATTTTTTACAAACCATACTTGGTGTTTTCTCCTGTGCTGCTGGATGCATAGTTAGTTTTCTAGGAGGAAAAGTGAAAAACAGAATTGCCACTCTGGTTGAGTCTGCTGGCATTTGTTTATAAAATTGTGTGATAGATGGTGACTTACTAAGTTACCAGCCTGTGTAACCACTGCCAAAGACTGCAGACCTTCAGAAAAATGAGTGCCACATGCAGGGCAGCTTTAAAGCAATACCCAAGATGGTTGTTGGCAACCAAACTGTGTTGAGCAGAAGCAACCAAGATCTGGCTGTGGCTAGAATCCGTTCTTACCTCTGCTTGGCACTTAAAATTATGTTTTTGAATTCAGAAACATTAGGGTACAGGAGAAGGGAAAGACCGACTGTGGGGAGAATGGCCATCACAGCCTGCTTCCTGAAGTGGGTTGGATAGTTTCATGCTTTTCCCAAGGGTTTCCAAAGTTATTTGATACCTTTAATGGGTTGTATGTGGTCTAGGAGCAGTGAAACTAATTGTCAGGAAGTCAGGAAGATGGAAGTTTCTATAAACATCAGAACTGCATAAACATTTCCTCAGTATACAGAACTTTCCTGTGACACAACCCAGAAATGGGAATTTTGAGCACTTTGTCCTATTCCCCGCTCTTCTGAAAACTCCTCTTTTTAAGGTTGCTAGCAGTGTTCCTGGTTCAGGCATTATATATGGTTCTTTGAAATACCCGAATGGTAAGCGGCTGCTGTCCTCCCGTATTAGATATGAGACATGCAACTGCTTATAGTTTGTAATCTATAAGGAGAATCATGCATTAGTGCTGATTCCTTTTATAATGGAGAGATCTACTCTTAAGACCTTGTTTTCAGTACCAATTTATATCCTAACCTCAATCTTTGACGATTTACCTGCAGATATTGTTATGCATTTACATTGTATGCATGCACTGATGTAAAGCATTATGCTGTAGCTTTATTGCTTAGTTTGACTTGTTCCTTCTCTCTATCGAGGAGTCATAATTGTCTCCCACCTCCTTCAGGATAAACAAAACATGCCCATTTAGCCTCCCTTCAGAAGGGTGCTCTGTCCCATGATAACTGTAGTGGTTCCTGCTCTACATTTTTTGCAGGTTTGAGTATCTGTGCAAAGCATGTAGGACCATGCGTCACTGTTCAGTGTGTTCCTACTGTATTCCAGGTTTCATTTGCTGTCTTCATGGCATGAATACATCTATCATCCTGTGGCTGACTAGTCATAAGGACCTCCTCCTTTCCCCAGCTTAGAAGCATGCTAGTGCACAGCCAAGGTCTTTTGGGGCTGTCACTTTGCAGTCACGCAGTTTGATCCTATATGTGTTACACTTGGTCTTCAGGATCTTGTCCTTTCTTCTTGATGACCTGGTACATTTTCTTTGGTGGTAGCTTCCAACTTCATGGTGTCATCTAGGGTGTCATCAATAGAAATATTAATGAGACTTAATTCCAGAATTAAGCACTATGAAGCTGTGCTAATAACTTCCCTTCAGCCATATGTTTCTCATTTTGGTATGAAACACTGGTGAATTTATACAGTTCTTAGCTTGAGGGAATTTAGTAGCCATGGCTGATCCCTTTACTAAGGCAGACGATGGAGTACAGGAATGCTTAATCTTAATGGATTTGCTACTGTCAAGCTTTCAAAACAAACGAGCAAACAACCCCCTCTCCCCCCCAACAAAACCCTGTGCTGCATAGTCAATTATGCAACTACATGCACTATATTCATGCACAGGAGGACAAGTTTCCTGACTTGCAACTTCAACAGGCCCTCACTATTCTCTCCTGCTGTCTTTTCACCTGTGGGTCTTGTGGAGTCCTATTAAGTAAGGAATTGAATTCTGTAATAATAATAATAATACACTACAAAATGTGAGGGTGTTGAGTATAAACATGCAGAGGGTCGTGTTGTTTGAATAGAGTATCTAGGGTATAGAAACGCAGTGGTGTGCCAAATGCTACGTGTCTGTGTATTTATTCAGCTTTCTAATATGACCTTTCATTTTTACAGCTTGCAGTTGAAACTTAGCAGAAACACTTCAGTTAATAGACTTATTTTATGGATTTTTGTAATGTTATGGTATTTAATTCTCTTCTTGGTGGTATAAGCATTTGGAATTCTTAATATAGCAAAAAAGGAAAATATGTAATACATAGAACTTTTACTTGATTTGTCTGGTAGTAATATTTTTAGTGGATTGTTTATTAAGCTTTGACTTGAGGGAGTTAAAATATTCTTGATTATTGTTTAGTTCTTTCAGTGCCTTCCCCTGAAGGCCATAATTGAGGGGTATGGGAGGCCTGGCCAGTCCATCTTTTAAGCATGTGTGAAGTCAGTGGGACTATTTTTATGTAGGGAGGGGCTCTTTGGTGCTTTACTATCTGTATTTTATACCCATGTGTATGGTGTACTGTAACTTATTAAAAACTCTTCATTTCAATGCTTGTAGTTGGTGTATGAATTTTTCCTGAGATTTTTAGAGAGCCCAGACTTTCAGCCGAGCATTGCGAAGCGATACATTGACCAGAAGTTTGTACAGCAGGTAAGCACAGAGTCCTTCTCCCCACGGATTTAAAGATCACCTCTCAAAATGAAGCTGGCTGAAACTAAAGCTTTCACTTTAACAGGGATTAAATTTTAGTTGTTACTACAATGCTTTCTGCAAAGCATTATATATACAGGACATCATACCATGCAGCTAATTAGTAACTTCTGAAACACTTTGCAAAGTGTAGAGGTTGATATCTGAAAAGAGTACAAAAACTCCTGTGTTTGTGGAAAAAAATGTCCAGTCATACTTCCAGAGAAATCACTTGTGTGCTGGTTGAGTTATTTTACTGCTATTGTCATTGTGATTTTTCTCCCCCCCCTCCTTTGTTCTTCTTCTCCCTGTCCTTCCCTCTCACTCTTCCACCCCTGCAGAAGTTTATCATGGTAAAATCTATATCAAAGCTGACTTTCTGTTTTGTCTTCTGCAAAAAATATATATATATATATTTAATGAGATGTGCTCCATCATCTGCTAAGTTGTTATGAGACAATCTTGTTTTCTTTATTGTCCCGTGTTATATACAAAAGAAAAAATAAATGGAAAAAATGGGAAAATTGAGAGAAATGATGCTTCACTGTGCAAAGTAACTGATCAGGAAAATGAATTGAGATTGAATATTAAATGTAACTCATCAGGGACATAGGCTCTATTGTTTTGATTGACGCTATCCAATTATTATCCTTTAAAGTCGGGATAGCTTGAAATTTTAGGCCCCAAAGATAGATTTGTATTTTCTACTTCTGTTAGGGTTTAGCCAAGACTTGCAGGTATCATTTGACTTGCTTTGTCTAAAACAGACTATTATGTTATGGTGCTATATTTCTAGTGTCTTGGGTACAAACCTGTTATTGTCTTAAACTCCTGTTAATCAGTTTTGGTGGAGAGGGAGAAAAAGATAAAGCTTTTAGAAAGTAAAGACTGTAACCTCTGTGCTTCCACTTCAGCTTGGGGCCTGTGTTGCTGTTGACTCTTTTGCACCTTGCTTCCCTTTCAAGGAAAATCCTAGGTGGGAGGGAGACAAGCAGGAAGATGCTGCTGTGGGTCCCTTTGACCAGAAAATCTGCAGCAAGTCAGGGCAAGGAGCTGCAGGTTTGAGAGGGCAGTGTCTTGTGCTTTCCAAAAGGTCTGAATTGGCTTTCCCAGCCAGGAGCAGCTTTCTTAGCAGCAGGCAGTTGCCTTTGGGTTGGGAGCAGCATTGCACTATGGCAGGGAAAGGGGAAAGGTACCAGGACCTAGTGGCTATGTAATGAAAACTCAGTTTCTGGGCATTTCAAATCCAGATGAGGAAGTGCATCACTCTGCAGTAAGGGTAAAGTAGAAAATTGCTTGAGTACTTTCCCTCTCCACCTTCAGAAATTGCATTTATGTTTCTATTTATTTGGCTTTACTGTTCCTGTTTCTAAGCATCCCCTTCCTGTCTGTTTGACTTTCCCACAAAATCCAGGCCTGAAGCTGCTGCGAACAGCTGGCTGTGAATGGCCTGTTTGCTAGTTGATCTTGGAAGCCCTCTTTCAATTTTTAATTCCTGAAGTTTGACTTGACCTTTCTAGAGAGTACGAGAGAGACATCTCTGAGTGAGAAAAATGTGGACACTGGTGACACTGAGACCTTCTAAATATAAAAATGAAATGAGCCTGAGCAAGTTTCCAAACAGCTGTGTCCCCTGCCATACGTTGCATGCTATAGACGTTCCTAAGTTTGCAGACCTGGCCTAAGCAGGAGATGGCAGTGACTGCTTGACCAAATTACGAACTTGTTTAGCGTAGTTAGCATCTCTGGATTTGCTCTTGCTTGGACACAGAGCGGGGAAAAATAACTTAAAATAATGACTTGCCATGGAATTGTAGTGTGGCATTTTCTGTGTCTTTGGAAAGCTTCCTACAAGTCAAGAAAGAAAGAAAGAAAAATCTCTTTGGAGTATCATGCTGTCTTATTTGGGGTGTTCAGTCTCTATTAGCAGATAACCAGAACTTGACATTTCATAGCATATGCTTAATTTTGATGAACACTCATATTAAATTATGAATTCTGATATTTCTTGCATCTAAACAAAAGGAATTGTGTTCATCATCCAGAGTAGATGAGCAGAAAATGGCAGGAGGGATTAGCGGAGAATACTGGTGCTAGATGGAGTCAGAAATTACTCAACTTCTACATGCTGTGTTTTTTTTCTATAGCTTCTAATGCATTATCATCCCATTAAATATAACACTTTATTTTTTCCCCGAGGAAATGTACATAATTCTTACCCCTATCCATTTATCCTGCAAAATGATTTTGCAGAGAATTATGCTTTGCTTAACTTGAAAGACAGGAAGGTTTAAAATGAAGAACAATGTTTTAATTAAGAAGCTATAATTATCTGATACAAATGTAATTAATTGGGGAATCTTAAAAGCTGACTGAAAACCACTAGGGTTTGATAACCTCGTTCTTAATTGTTTCATTATTTTGATAGTGTCTCAGTTTTTGGAATGGCTTTGTCTGTATACAGGCTTCTCAATAGAATACAATTTCAGGTCAAACATTCTCTTTATTGCAAAGCTGTAAAGTGCAGGTAAAATTCAAGTCAGTAACATGATGGCAAAGATTTTTTAAATCTTCTAAAATTAATATATTTCAATTTAATTTTTAAAGTTGCTGGAGCTCTTTGATAGCGAAGATCCACGAGAACGTGATTTCCTAAAGACAGTTCTTCATCGAATTTATGGAAAATTCCTTGGTTTAAGAGCATTCATCAGGAAACAGATAAACAACATTTTCCTCAGGTATGCTGTCCGTGTGCGTGACTAGGCTGAGGCTTCCTAGCTCGCCTCTGCAGTTACTTGTTCTTGAAACACCAGATTTGGTTCTCCTATCTGGGTGTCAAATATTTGAAGCTTATTGAAGACTCTTATATTTCTAACTTCTGTTTCACTTTGCCTCTTTGTGTCAGGTTTATATATGAAACCGAGCACTTCAATGGTGTTGCTGAGCTTCTTGAGATATTAGGAAGGTAAGTTTGATAGGATGGGGAATAAATAAGAAATGTTACTCTGGGTTACTCTGGAAAGCTTCAGCTTTCTTGCTTTGAGAAGGAAGGGGGAGAACAAAGCTATTTTAGTCAGTAGAGATGAAGTGCTGTCACCGATACCTGCCATTCTCTAGTCTGTGACTGTCCAATTGGAAGATGGACTAGAACTTGTCCTTTCACTGCAGATTTTAAAGGTGGTCTGCAATCTGCTTAAGAGTACTTGTTTGCCTCTAGCATGATATGTGAATATCAAAAAAGCATCTGTCCCCATTCTCACCCCCCCCCGCCTTTTTTTTAAAACCTTTGGAAATAAGCAGTACTATCTATTCTTGGTCCTTTCCTAATAGTTTGTCTTGATTCAGAAAAGCTAGTATTAACTTTGGCCCTCATGTTTTCATCTGCAGGCTGATTTACTTCAATTACGAAAATTTTAAGAGTTAGAGCTTACTGTCATTTTTGCCCTTAATTCGCTATTTTTTTATTTTTAATTTTTGAATTTTGTGCAGTATCAGTTTATTAGTATTTCAAAATTGTTACAGATATATTGCACAGTAGAAAAATTCATAGATGTTACTGATTCAATGAAAAATTCCAAGCTCGCAAAACTACATTTGAATAAATCTTTATGAAACTAACAATTTCCTTTCATCTGATTTTAAGTTTGTCTGAAACATAGAAACATTGTCAAAACGCATGTTCAGGCTGCAGCATTAAAGCAGCCTTTACAAAGTGCTGTGCCCTCAGGTGTGTGGCCAAGTGTATTTTTGTTTCCCTGTTCTTTTCAAGTTACCTTTGAATGATTGTGGGTGAAGGGATCAGCTTCCCCTTGCATCTGTCAAAGCCTTGCAGCTGGACAGCAAGACTCCTTGCTGAACTTGTAGATCATTTCACCACATGGAAGTCATGTTAAATACTTCAATCTAACAAGTATTACCAAATTTCAGTTACGAGTGGGGGGGTTTTTGTTCGTTTTGGGGTTTGTTTTCCTCCTCTTTGCTACCAGGTGTCCAAACTTGTATGCTACAGGCACGTTAGAGATTGTGCCTGTATAAAGCTGCTTTTGTGTGTGGCCCTGCAATTACTAGATTTTGAAAATGAACTAGAAATTGAATGTTGCTTTAATTTACGGTATTTCTTGATCTATTGGGAAGAACTTTTTAAATATATTTATATAAAAATAAATTCTGCCTGTTCGTGTTTTCAGTATTATCAATGGTTTTGCACTGCCACTGAAAGCAGAGCACAAACAGTTCCTCATGAAAGTTCTGATTCCCATGCATACTGCAAAGGGATTAGCTTTGTTTCACGCACAGGTAAGTCTTTACATATTTTCAAGATTTTTTTTTTGTGTGTTTACATTTGAAACTAATGAAAATTAGTGTGTGTTAATGTCTGTATTCCAAAATACTTAATGTAATCACTGAATATTTCATTGAGATCTTAGATAAATTCTAATTCTAAGATAGTGTCTTGTAAATTTCAAAAGTGAAAGAATGTGGCAGTTGGTCATGTCAACTAAAATGGGAAGTTGTTTTTGGTTGCCTAGACTGTCACATTTAAGCCTAAAACATAACCTCAAGGCCTTGTTCTGTTATCACTTCCTTAGGCAAACTAAATGCTGTGTATAAGGAACGTTGAAAGAGGTCGCACGCTTACTTCGGAAATGCTTTCTTTCGTCTTTAAAAAAAAAAAAAAAAAATCCTATATCCAAAAACATAAGTAAAATAGACAAATTGAAGGCAGAAATCCAATATCTTGTTGGATCAGCTAGGAATTATGCAGCTCCATGACATCCTGCCAGAATGGAACAGTTCCTTGGTTCACTTCTGTTCTTGTATTTAGCACAGGCACTCAACAGTTGTTTGAATAACATGCATCCTTTCCAGGCAGAGTGGGACTTGAGTTTTGACTACATTTTATGCAAATGAACAAGTAATTTGCTATATTTCATTAAAAAATTGCTTTGTTAACTTTAGCCAGCTCACTAATATCATATGAACAGAAGATACGGGGAAAGAAATGGGTTTCTAATTAAGGTGGAGTCATGATGACTCTGCAGCCTACAAAAGGGATCAAGTCAAGAGCTCCGTTAATTCCTGATTCTCATGACAGCCCTTTTAACGAAGCGCCTTGTCCTCGTGGCGCGTTGCTGCCTCGTCGGGGAGGCCGAGGGCAGTGTGGGGGAGGTGTCCGGGCGCCCGGGGAGCCGGCCCCCCCGCCAGCTCTGCCGAGAGCAGCACTCAGCTCCTGGAGCGGGTTGTTCATCCACCCCTTCGCAATGCGTCAGGCCCAGGTGTCAGAAGTATAGAAAACACCACCTGGAAATGAAAGAGCAGCCCTTGTGTCCTGCTTCACGTTGCCCCAAGAAGCGGAGCAGCACCGGTCCTGTCCTGCAGCCGGGAGCAGCCAGGTGCTCTGCTGCAGCAGTGCCCGCTTGGGCTGCCTTGAGGCAGGGCCCTGGAGCTGGTTTGAGTTTGAGTCTGTTTAAATAGTTCATGTACTGTACAAAAATACTGTAATGGTGTTTGTGTGACACCATTTTTAGTCCACACGTATCCTTATCTGAGTGTTTAAAAAAAAATAGACGTGTTGTAATTGCAGCACCATAATGATCTGGTTTGGTAGAAGAGATTAAAATGGAAAGATAACACTTAAATTCAAATGTTCAAGCATGGAAATATATGTAAGGCATGCAAATGGTCTCAGTTTGCTGAAGCCAATGCTAGGGGAATCTGGGATTGTAGCCACCTGAGGAATGGGGTTCTGGTGTGGTTTCTGTCCTGGGCAGAGGCAGGTGGCTCAGCTCCCTAGCTCCTTGTTTCCACACTTCCAAACATTCGGGAAACGCTTGGGGCTGCCTCCTTTTTTTTTTTTTTTTTTGGGGCGGGGGGGAATAATTTAAAATAGCTGCCTCGGGGTGTTATTTTTTTCCAGTTTGAAATGCTTGAAATTAGAATTTGTGGTACTTAGTTATGCTATAATATCCACTCAGTGTCTGTTTAAACTAAAAAGCTGTATATGACTTGCATTTTAGCTGGCCTATTGTGTTGTACAGTTCCTGGAAAAAGACACAACCTTAACAGAGCCTGTAAGTATTTTTGAATTGAATGTTTTTCTGCTTTTAATCTGAACTTCCAGTTTCAGTGCAGCTCATTAGAACCCTAGGGCAGCACTAACTGCAGCGTGCATTATGATCTGTAGGCATTTGGGGTGAAAAGTAGTGTGTATTTTTTTAACAAGTCAAGGACAAGTGTTGGAGAAATCTGGCTTTTCCAAGTGCTGTTATCTTCTTAATCCATGACTGACATGGAGCACAGATTTAAATAAAAACTGGAACCACTGAGATGATGCGGATCATCTCATAATGAAAAAGTCTTTACCTGCAGTGTTCCTTCCTACTAGGACCTGAAACTTCATATTTTTGATGCTCCTGGCTTGTACCTAACCACTAGATGAAGCTTCAGGGAAATAAACAGTCCCAAAATACAAGCTGACAAGAGCAACCCTACTTTATTTAGAACTTTGGAATTCCAGATGTATTTCTGCCCTGTCCCTTCAGCGATGTCAGCGCCTCTTGGTGTGTTTAACAGAGGTGCTTCAGGCTCCGGTGGCCTTTGCAGGCCGCATCTCCCGCGATGGCTGTTGGCAGTTGGGCTGTGCAGGGGCTTGTGCCGTTCATTGCAGAGTCCCCAAAGAGAAATGCAGGCTCAGGGCAGCCCCTGCGCACGGGAGCTGGCCAGGCCAGCTAGGACAGAAACCCTTTGTAGTTTAATAGTTGTAAAACTTTCAGTTAAGGCTGTATTGAATTTTAAGTACTTTATTTTGGTTTTGATGGAAAAAATCAAGAGGTTTTGCAGTTTTCTTAGGGAAAAAAATAGTTTTGTGGAAACAACTTGTAAATTTTCACCAGGCAGACTTGGATGGTGCAACCGGGCTGCCCTGTGTGGGTTTGTGCCGGCTGCTCGAGGCGCTTCCTTCCCGCGGAGTGTCCCTGTCCCAGCGCAGGTCTCCAGCTACCGATTTCCACAAAACTTCTAGGGATTTAGATGAGGATTTAACTGTATGAGTTTTCCAGTTTCATTAAAACTGGAGAGTGAATTGCTTTTATTGGGTAGGATGTGAACAGCAAATGGACAATATAACATAAAGACCTGTAAGAATTTTTTTGTCGAAGTGACAAAATCAGAACTTCCTGATATGAATTTGCATCCCACCAAATCCAACTCAGACTTTTAAGCGGGAAGTCAGGGCTCCCTTAGCTACAGATGCCCTGGTACCATGTCCTGAGACCTCCCCTGGGCCATCACTGCAGACATTTTTGGTCACGCTCTGGTCAGAAAAGTGAGTTCAGAGTGGAGCAGATACAAGAAGTGACTGCAGAATCGCTGCCTCTGCTCACCTTGGTCGTGGGCCCTGTAAGGGATGACTAAAAGTTGAGAGGGCAAGAAGTGAAGCTTTAAGAAACTTTCTGAAATGCTTGAACTGTAAATGTCAAAATTTGATAGGGCAGCTGATGAAATAGTATTTAGAGGGTTTTTTGTTGTTGTTTCGAGGGAAGGACGTCTTGGCTGTGGGTCACGGAGTATTTTAAGCCCCCCCTTAGGAAGGAGGCTGCTGAGCACCACGTGTGTATCTTTCTGGCAGGAGCCGTCGCTCGGGGTCGGTGCTGGGGCACGTGGAGCGGCAGCGCGGCGCGGGGGCGGCTGGAGTCAAGCGGGAAGGAGCGATAAAAGCCCAGGGGTTTCGTGTAGGAACAACAGCCGGAGCTGTGCAGGCACACGAGTATTGCGGGGAATAAAACTCTTGAGCACAACTGTACATGGGTGTTTTAATATGGAAGTGTGGTCAAGCTGGAAATTGTATGGTCCGTAAAGAGCAAGGATTAGGTAGGTGTCTTGGAGAGGTTTGTGCTCTTCTGTTTGCACTCTGCTATGCTTCTAGATTCACCTGCCTTCCAGCTAAGGGTGCGTGGTAGGTTCTAGCTGCCTTTCCTGAGTAAAGGTGCTTGGCTGAATTTTTGGGGATTTCTTCCCTTGTTTTGGAGGAAGAGAAACAGTTGGCAGAATGGGGTGTTACACTTGTAAATGCTTGTGGGGGTTCTGTAAGGAGACGAAACCTCAGTAGTGGGTAACCGTGTCACACATCCAGCATCTGTTAACTAGCTGGGAACCAAGTGGATACAAGCACAAACACGAACTTGCTTCTCGTGGGTTTGAGCCTAGGACTGCCATGGGTGGCCGGCGTTTCCTCGGCCGCTCCGTTCCACGCGGGGCGATGCCCAGCCCTGCAGAGCAAGGGGTGCCGGTGGCGTAAAACCAAACACCAGGGAGGCAGGAGGAGCCGCGTCCGGGCGGCCCGAGCCCACGCGGGGGTGAGGCCTGTCCGCAGGGGGAACTGTCCGCGCGGAGACGCTCCCGCCTCTGGCCGCGCGGGCGGGCGGGCGCCTCTCGCGGCCAGCACCGACCTGGTCGCTGGGGCGCTGCGTTGGGTGTTTGTCTGGGGGACATGGGCCTCCGGTCTCCTACTTGCTGTGTCGCCTGCTCCTGGGAGCACCTGGGGTGTTCTCCAACCTCACATGAGATTATTCCTGCATCTCCTCTGGAAACCAACTTTCTCTGTGAACTTGCATCTTTATTTCCCGGTTTCCAGTCTTTGCCACTGCAAATTCTAGAAGAGAAAAGGTGATTGAGTCCATGGCCCTCCGTAGAGCCCTGGTGGCATAGCCCGTGTAAAAGATATTCTGGGAAAGTGGAGCTACAGGGGAGTTAAATGCACATTTGTGAAGCTTCGATGTTGTCCTGTCAGTTAATATGGGTACTGGGGGGGAGTGCAGTGTGAAGACTTCTTAAAGCAATAGCATGTGTATTATTCTGAAATAATACAAGATGAATAAGTAAGATAAATACTGCCTGGTCTCATTTAAAGTCTTATTTTTCAGTGAATGGACCTATATTTAGCTGTATTGCCTTTAGGATAAGGAGAAGCAAATTGGTATTTAATTTTATTTTTAAATGAATCTTACCAAATACTGAATACAAACTTTCTGGTTTAACTTGTGGTTTTTTTTTTTTTTTAATATAGGTAATCAGAGGACTGCTGAAATTTTGGCCAAAAACTTGCAGTCAGAAAGAGGTTGGTTTTGTTTCTGCTTTATAAAACGTTAGAGCAGCAGGTTCACATACTTCATCTCTGCTGCATTTCTCAGGGGATCTATTGGAGTTCCTGCAGTTCTCAAATTCCTGGGGTGCTGATGTTTGTCCTGCCACTCAGTGCAACATTGGTTCTGTATCTGCCACTTACTGTGCTGCTGGTCTCTTAAAGCTATGTTAAAAGTTGCGTGTTATTTCAGATCTCTCAGAGAGAAATAACTTCTTCCAGATGAAAAGTCCTTTAGTAGATAAGTACCAGCTCAGAGGCAGTCGGTCTGCAACGTGCTGCATTTGATACTGGAATACCAGGACAGCTGTGGAGCTGGTGCATGAGCTATCGTATGAAATTCTACTTCAGTGCAAATGTTTCTTCTGTGTAAATGTAACTTTAAATGACCTCAGGAAATTCATTTTTCTGATTGTCTCCTATACAATGAAAGATGGGAGCTTGATGCCAGCAGATACCACCTCCCTGGCTGCCCTTTAGAAGAGGGGCCCCTTAGCATGAGACCCGCCTTGCGTGAGCAGGGCTGAACCCTGCACGCTGCCCCCGCTGCTGTGTCATTTAAAGCTGAAGTTAACAACCTACCACTAGAACCCGCTTTGGAGATCGCCACTAACAACAGCCTTTGCAGCCTCTCTTGAAGAAACAAAAAGGTTTTAGCATTTTTAAACTATTAACAAAAAAAATCAGACAAAGCAGCAGGGTTGAAGCTTTGAGAACAACTATCCAAGAGAAATCCAAGATGGGAGCTTGAATGTGGTGGATAAAAGCAACTCTTCTTTCAGGTTGTGGGAGAATTGAGCTGTGGCTGTCTTGTAGAACATGGTAACACACTCTGCTCTTGGCAGGATTTGGGACTAACGTGCAAGCTGTATTTTGTTTGTGTTGGCAATGCAAAATGTTCTCATGCTTTTTGATGTGCTTTTTTATATAAACAGGTAATGTTCTTAGGTGAAATTGAAGAAATCCTAGATGTAATAGAACCAACACAATTCAAAAAAGTAGAAGAGCCTCTATTTAAGCAAATATCCAAGTGTGTATCAAGTTCACATTTTCAGGTAAAAAAATAAATAAATTAATTAAGCATAAAAATAACTTGTAGTAACTTATTTTATCTTTTTTGACCCCTAAACTTTGACCTCTAAACTTTGTATTTCAGGTTGCAGAAAGAGCATTGTACTTCTGGAATAATGAATATATTCTTAGTTTGATTGAGGAGAACATTGATAAAATTCTACCAATTATGTTTGGCAGTTTATACAAGATCTCCAAAGAACACTGGAATCCGTATGTAATGTTAACTCTTCCCGTGCTATCAGAATCAACTGTATTACTCTGCTCTTTCATGATTGGATCATAAGGAGATGATGGAATAGGAATGGAAATAGTAGACAGCTCTAATATATGGACAACTGTACAAAACAGGCAGTCTCATTTACAGTAAGAAAGCAAACAAAAAAACTGAAATCCTTATCTGGTGCTGTAGCTTAATTGAATTCTCTAGAGGTGCATGTGCAGCAAAACTGTGCTATCCATAAACACTTCTGGTAGAGTCCATAAACCCCATCTTAAACCACGTGTCTGTCAGTCCTCTGCTCTGTTCTTCTGCCCAATCTTGGAGCTGATGACCAGAAGCTTTATGGACTCAAAGTATTTCAGGTATTATAAAACTGCTGTGAAAACTCAGTTTTGTAAATGTTAACATAGCTGAATGGCTTTTATTATACAGCCACGGTAATGCTTATGCCCTGGTGAGTGCTAGAGTCAGGAGTTTATGGTTACAGAGCCATTTAAAAAAAAAAAAGTATTTTATTTACAGAGAAAGTAACTGTAAATAATTTTGCTCCAAGAACTCATTGACCTTAGAGTAGCATCTTAAAAACAAAGTTCTGAGTCCAAAAAGGAAATTGGACACTTGTTCACCAGAGACTTTTGTGTTGAGTAACCTGCCGGTGTGCTCCTCCTGCCCTAGCACCATCGTGGCACTCGTGTACAACGTGCTGAAGACACTGATGGAGATGAACGGCAAGCTCTTCGATGAGCTCACCAGCTCCTACAAAGCAGAGAGGCAAAGGTACTGACACCTCGTCCAAACGATGCTGCTAAACATGTGCCTGAGATGCTCCCCCTGAAGAGGAGCAGACTTGCCCCGCGCTGCCCGTGGGAAGCTCCTGGGCCCGTGGGCAGTGCGGAGGGAGCGGAGCCGCGGGGGCTCCGGGCCCTGCCAAGTCGGGAAGCTCCTCTGTGCGGGAGGGCAGCCTGGCAGCTGCTGCCAGGCGCTCCCGGCGCTGCGGGAGGCCTGGGCTGGGGAGCAGCTCGCCCGAAGCCTCCTCTTCATCCTGCTGAGCCTGAGCGCTGCGCAGGCGACAGCAGCTTGTCCCAGGCCAGCCCAAACCCCTGCTCGGCCTCCTCCCGCCAGCTCTGCTCTTCCTCCCATGGCGCTCGGTTTCTCCATTTGTTTGCTTGCAAAAAAGAACCTCCTGAGCCTTGCAGTCATCAGTGAATAAAGACGAAGCTGCAATGGAGCTTTTCAAGTTGTACCTTCATCCTTTGCCTCAAAGAATAGCTTTGGGCATGAGAAGCCTGAGGGCTTACTGGATATTAATCAGTTTTTAGGCATCTGCATCTATACATTGCTCTTAAAGCACATCTGAAATTGGTATTTCACTCTCTTTGCAGAGAGAAGAAGAAGGAATTGGAACGTGAGGAGCTGTGGAGAAAGCTAGAGGAGCTGAAGCTGAAGAAGGCCTTGGCAGAAAAACAGAACAGCACTCACAACGTGCTGAATGCACACAACTCAAGTGCCAAATAAACAAAATGACAACCTCTACACAACAGATGTACTTTTTTCCTACCCTTTTGAAATATAGAAAAACTTGCAAAATAAACCTCATCAGTATAATAGGAACAGCCGACTTTTTCTCTGGCAAAATGTAAATGAAAAAGATTTAAGTTCAGCAGTTAAGTGATGTCATTACCACAGCATATTGTAAATTTTGTCTAATTATTGATATATTGTCACTTCCAACGTTTCATAGAACTGAATTACCTTTAATGAGTGAAATAATTATGGGAGTGGTGAGAACTATGACTTGAATTTTTGATTGTGTTGCACATAGGTGGTATAGTTTGCTCTGTACATTTTTTTTCCTTGTTTTATACGTGCTTTTCACAGCGCTGCATACCTTGGTTAAGACTATAGAAGAGGCTTCTAGTTGTGCTGTATTTTCTCAAATAAAACCAAGGTACGTTACCAGGAACTTGAGACATCTGCTATGTGCCCCTCGCAACGCCGAAAGGAACGTGGCTTGCCGGTGGTCTCGGACTCCAGATTGAATTTAGCTTTGCAAACAGCTCATGGTAGAGTGAGGCAAAACATGGAAGGGGTGAGTTCCGAGGGTGGCCTGTGCGTCTGCCCCACCGTGGGGCGGGCGCCTGGTCCTGCTCCTGCCCCACGTGAGCCTGGCCGTGACATTCGTCGTGTGCCAAGGCCGAGTGTGGCCACTGCCGGCAGGGCCTGGGGCAGCCAGGCTTACGTGGTAAGGTGGGAAGACTGTCCACAAGTAGTTCCTTGTTTTATTTAAAGAAAATGCAGTCTGCTCCTTGGAGGTGGAAAGTTGATTATAGAAGTCCTGTCTGTTTTACTTGATCAAGTATTTTTCACATCTTTTATCAGAGTACCATTCCAATCTCTTTAAATTGCAGTTGTGTGGAAAACTTTTGTATTGAAAGACCTTTGGGGAATTGAGCAGCATTCAATAAAGTCTTTATGTTTGTATTTAGTGCTGTATATCACATCTTTGTGTTTATAAAGACCAAGAGAAGTCGAATGGCTCTTAGAAACAAAGCGTTAGTTGTACCACACTTATTTAAATAACCCATAGTTTGTCACTAGCTGACAGCAGTGAAAGCTGCAGGGCCCTGAGGTCTAAGTTTTGGTGACTGAGGGTGGCAGGTTTTGCTGAGATCCTCTCCTCAAGTTTCTTTTGCCTGTTGCTTGACTGTTTTACTGACTTAACCCAGGTACCAGGGAGAAGTCTACATTACAGTGTTTTTTTTTAATACATTTTTTTTAATTACTTCTGTTATTACTTCAGCCCTTGTCTCTGAGGGGCTCCCTTTCTTCTCTAACCCTCCCTGGAGAGGTTAAACAAGAGAAGCTCTTTAAGAGCCCGTTGCTGATCCAGGAGTCATTTATCTTCAAAGCAGCAGTACCCGGGGGCGGGGGTGCTGCCTGGATAGTCTGGACCCTCCAGCTACTTCTGCGGGGCTTCAGCAGAAGCTTCAGCTACTTCTGAGGGGCATTTTTCCCCTCACGCCCCTGGCATGGGCTCCAGGGCCTTTCCTGTGCCCTGCACGTTTCCCCTTGCACAAACACCTTCTAGGGCCATACCTGGCACAGCAGAGGCTGAAGAACTTCTCCACTTTCCTGTTCAACCAGGGCCTCACACCTGCATAGCCCAGGCTGTTCCCAGGCAGTTTTGGGGTTGTTGCTACTCTTACAAGTCACCTTCGGAGGAGGGTGCAACCAGCTCCTGAAGGCCGATGCCTTCCCAAAAGCTGGAGCTGTGGCGGGGGTGGAAATACTTAAATACTTTTCATGGTGCTTCCTCAAGCAAGACTTCAACCTAGGGCTGTTAAGGGGGCCAACCTGAGCTTCAGCCAAGAGCAGTCACAGCTGTCCTACAACACTAAGGAAAGAGTGGCTCTGCCAAAGTCAGGGTCTGCAACACGCACCTTGCTGAGGTAGAGACAAATTACTGGCATTTGTAATTAATTGGATTCAAAGTTGTTCAAATTTTACAAATAGGAACATAAGAATAAGCAGTAGGGGAAAAAGACAATAGTTTAAGAAGCTATTTCAAATAAATTCAGTAGCGCTTGTTACTGGCATCCCACCTAAAAATAGTGCACATACAAGAAAGGTTTCCTGGCTGGAAACAGGTGGCCTGTGTGAGGCAGTGACGCTTCCTCGTAAAACAAAAGGTGGTGATAGATGAGAGGGAGTGACTGAAGGCAGCTGCTACATGAATTAGTTTAAAAAAAGAAAAGAAATGGCGTAGAGAAGAGCCTGTCTTTACCTCACAGCCCTCACCCCAGCCCCGCTGGAACTGTGGTGCCTGCTGCCCTGCATGCGCTGCAGCCCCAGGCTGGGCCTCTTGTCTCAGAGAAGGACATGTAAGAAAGGAAAAAAACACAGGAAAAAAACTAACCAAACACCCTACACCACAGGGCAGTTAACACACATTCACTCTAGAAAAAAAAAAAAAATCACATTAATATGCCAGCATGAAGCATGACTGAAGGCCATCTTCAACTTACACAAATCAATCATTTAGCAGCTAAGTTGGAAAATAAAAAAAAGTAAAAATACACACTCCATACACGGGGAATGGATTTTTTTTGTTTTTGACTTCTTTTTGCCCAATATTCCTGTCTGGATGATCTTCAATTGACGCTAAGAGCAGAAATCTTCAACAATGCACACAGTAACTTATTTTTAGGTGTCTTTTAATAATAAACATCAGTACATTGTTAAATGAAAACGTAGCAGGACTCCAGTGTATTTCAGCTCACAGCTCGGAGGCGGGCGGCAGGACCGTGCGGCTCTGCGCGTGACTCCTCGCTGCAGGGAACCGCCTCGAGGCCGCAGCCCGGGGCCTTACGTAAGTGCCCACCTGCTCTGAGATGTGTTCGAATGCCGGCCAGTTTTAGAGCTCAGCCACTACAGCACTGACTTGCTGAACACTGGTGAACTCTCTCTTCCTCACCCACCACACACTGAGGTAAACGTATTAAATCTGAGCTTAAAAAGTGTGAGTTTGTTAGACTTGCCCTAGGGTTAGCTCCTTTCTGAAGTTGGAGTGTCAGTTCGCTAGGCTGGGGGGGCTGTTCTGCAGGGAGTATACCTGGTTTACGGCTTTAGTTGCTGATTGAAGTTTATTCCAGTTATGTTCTATTCCTTCTGCTATGAACACTTAAAAGGCAGTCTCAGCTTATGTGGTTCATTACTTGGCTTCTTCTCTTCAGATGTCTCTTGCGGATTTTGATCATCCACTTAACACTTAACTTAGCAAAGTCTGCGGCCTTAAACAGAGCCAAAAAGATACCACAAAGAAGAGCAATCATGTTCCAAGGATTTGCTGTGATTATCTGCAAGAAATTAAAAACATTATTCCCTCTCAGCCGACTCAGCCACTATCGTACCTGCTCCATAACCAGCACTTCCAGTCTTCCAGCCGCAATGTCCTGCAGCAGGTACCACTGCCCTGCAGAGCTGTCACCAGGCAATCAGCCACCTCCCTCCAGGATCTTCCTTCAGCCTTGTGGACACTGGCTCCACAAGGTGTCTCATCTAGCTGGTAAATTCTCCTAGACTGTTTCAAGATGGTAAATTGTTTAAACCATGTCTAGCGATACAGGTAAATTGCTCAGTTTAGCCTTAGCGATTAAGCTTCCCGTAATGCTTCCTTTCAAAATTCACCAAAAGTCACCGGTCACATGAAGAGAGCTCGTCAAGGAGCGCAAGCCCTCAGGTGAGACAGGCCCCGCGCAGGGCCCCGTCCAGGGACGGCCGCAGCGCGCGCTCTGCTGCGGGACCCCCCGGCCCCAGCGTGCCCCACGGGCACTCAACTGGGAGGGCCTTGTGCATTTTAATGCCAAATTCTGTCCAATAAGGAGTTAAAAATACACTAGCTGATCTCTTTCTATTGTTCTCATTTAAGTCTAGCTTCTTGATTGTCAATTAAGACGAAAATTCACTAAACCCATTTACTGAAGCACACTTATCTAGGCGAAAAGCTGAGACCTGACCTAATGCTGGGCTCTGCTGAAGGGCAGGGCACCCCAGCTTTCTCTTAGCCACGTGCATATCCAGCTGTAGGAAGAAAGTGGAGTGTCACCAAGCAAATGAAGGCTTCAAATGGCCCTGACCCCCAGCAGAAGATACAGAACTGGTTGTAAGGAAAGAGCTTGGACTCAAATTTTAAGAGTGACTTCCCTCTTCCTCTATTCCACCTGGGGTGAGGGATAAGGCAGGTGCACATGCACCACATAGGTACGTGGGGAGGCAAAGGTTCGAGGAGGGACCAGCGAGTTACTCACATCTTGAACAGTCTGTATGAAGGGATCTTTCCATTCAAATACCACAAAAAACAGCTGGTCGCTTCTGGGTTTAGTTCTCTGGTCAATATAGTTAACCACGCTAGTCTGGAGAGAGGAAAAAAAAGACGTGCATGTTACTTGCTTTGATTTTTAATGGAGTTTTCTGCACAGCAGCCACGGCCTGGTGGATGGTGCAAAGAGCAGGTCTTAACAGCAGGGTGATCATCAAGGGTCTCCCAGTGCAGCCTTCGCCCTCCCTGGAACACTAGGCCCCAAGCAGGGAAGTTCAGCATCCCCCCGCCGCTTCGTGTTTGCCCTCTCTCCCCGCGGGCACGGCCGGTCCTTCCTGGCCCAGGCGGAGCGGGGGGCGCCCGCAGCCCTGCTTGGCCAAGGAGCTTGCCGAGCGCATCTGCGGGTGAAACCTGGAATCACCTCTGTGCCCATTCCCATTCCCTAGCTACTAGTCCATGAAGGTTTCCAGCCATGAAGAACTCGGGCTTTTTGCGTTGGAGTCAGACTTTTGTTCCCAGCCTCAGTCCATGTTTTTTAATTTTAAACAATGCAAGAAATTGAGTAATTCCCTGTTTCTAAGGCTTCTCAACAGGTAAGAGTCCCAAATCCAGACAAAAAGCAGACATCAGTAGTGCTACAAAGGATACTCTGTTCATGCTCACCTCTTCACCCTAACATCAGCCCCTCTGGTAACCCAAACAACATCTCTTCTCATTCCTAGCCATCTTTTAAGACAATTGCTTTGGAAATCACATCTTGGAACTAAAGGTAGCTGTGTTAATATTTCTGAGAAATCAATCCCAGCAGAGTGCAAGGCTCCCTTATAATCAGTCACGGGCTGGATCTTCTGGCTTCTCCATCAGGACATATTTTTTTGAGATCCATCTCTAGGCTCATCAAGGTATTAATGCTTTTGCAAAACCCCTCCAGGTTAAGAAGGAACACAAGTAACTGAAACCGCTCAGTGGCAACTGGTATAAGGAAAGCACCGAAACAAAAGCCACTTTCTAGATAACTGCACAAAACAGAGGACCTTTCTCCCTGTCTCCAACTCCTGTTGCCATTTGTTCCAAGAAATAATTCTGTCAATCAACTATCATCCACAAACACCAACTTTTTTGGCAGTAACTACTTTTTAATTAACTGTCAGTGCTCCAAAACACTCTTCCCAAGTTTCCTTTCTTACCTCTTGTTTGAATTCAACAGTCTCGCTACCATCTTCTTCTTTGGTTTTCACCAGGGACATCTTCACCCAAGTTCGAAATCCCCCGGAAAACTTCCAGCTGGAGTATGAGCTTTCACAGTCCTTCATGAATTCTGCTTTTTCTGGACTAAAAGAAAAATCATCATTTTACTGAGCGCTGCTCGTAGCACAATGTCAGACCCAGGGACATTTGAAATGCATTCAAAATTCTGTTTCAATTTCAGCTGCTAAAACACACTACATCTAAAACATCTATTGGCAACACTGATGTTCTGCTGAAGGTTAGCACTTGCACTCCTGCTCCCAGCTGCAGAAGACTGATGTGGCTCCTCACCGTTTCCCAGCTCGGCATCGCCCCAGGGATCCCTCTGCTTTGTAGGGGAACTTGGTTCTGCTCAGGTCTCCTCTCAAAGATGTGGGAGTGTGGCCAGGAGCCCAGGAACAACTTGCCCCAAGGTCAGGGCCCTGAGGGAAGGTGGGAGATGAAGCAGTAGGTTTCTCTAGTTACTAACAGGAGTTTGTTTTCACAGAATTCAGGGAAAAACAAACAAAGAAAGAAAAAAACACTTTGTAGGCAGCCAGGACCACAGTTGCTCTAGGAGGTAGATGTAGAAGGAGAGAGGATTTAAAAGCAGCTTTGGTGCTCTGTTAGCACCACCCCGTTCGTTAGGTCTGAGCTACCTCTCATTTCTCAAGGCTGGCAAGTTCACATCTGCTCCCCAGGCCCTTGTGCAGAGCACGAAAGCTTTGGCTGCCTTTCTCCAGGGCTCACGTACTCAGAAAATAAATACCAGGGAGCTGCAAAGCCCAAGCCCGTTAACAGCACCACTTGTAGGATACAACCTTGCTCTGCACAGAGCTAACAGTTTTTGTGCTTCACCATCCTCCTTCATGATGGTCAGTTTTAACAATTCTGCCTATTTAGTTGAGCTAAGGGAGACTAAAAAAAACGTAGCCAGGATCATCCACCTCTTTGCTTCCCTATGTTAGGCCTGGAGACACAAAAATAGGCCTGTTCTGAGACCTTGACTGCCCATCACTTCTTTATGTGCTTTATGGAAGTGAGAGCTTCAGGTAACAGGTTTGTGCTGACAATAGTTTCTGTTGGAGTGTTGATGTTGGGATCAATTAGAGCAGTGACTAGCATGACCTTTGATAGCTAGTGAAGGCAACAGAAGCAGCCTAGAGCAGGGCAGGCTGCTTTACCCGCCCTCGGGGTGCACTCAAACCAGTCCCAAGGCAGACACAGCCGACAGGCTTTGCAGTTTACATTCCTAGGGTCTTAGGAACAAGGTCCCTTTGATGCGAGGCTCCCATCTGTCCTGAACATCCTCACAACAACCTGCAGCCACAGCTGTTTGTGGGCTCACAAGAGCAGGACTGGTTTGTGCCCATTTTTAATACTGTGACCCTGAGCAATTTAAGGCTTCCCAAACCCACCTGGCAGGTGCAGCTCTATGATACAGCATGCGTGGTCCCCACCTCATCTCTAGCAGCTGCACAGGGCACTCTGAATCGACCACCCTCACGAGGTGTTTCCTTGGAGCTCCTCTGCACTGCGCTTTTAGCCACTTGCTTGCTGTCTCCAGGAAACAAGTTGGTCCTTGCAGCTGCTTTCTAGTAAGGTTTCATTTGAAACCCAGGGGTGAACACAGTGATGAGTCACTAAAGGACCGGGGGCGATTTTCACTAGAGGGAGATTTCAGGTTTGGAGAGATGTGTCAGGGTAGGTTGGTCCTTTGAGACAAGGGGGCAGAACCAGGTTTTTGATTCAGCCAGAATAAATCCATCTTTGCAGACAAAGAAAAAAGTTCTTCTCCCATCTGACAGAGGGAGAACATGGCTAAGGTTGTTGGGAGCCTAGAACAGTTTGGTCTTTCATGAGAAAGATGTAAAGAAGAAAAGCTGAACTGAAAACAAGGCACTGTCTGAAAAAGGGACCAATCGGGAAGATTCGCCCCACACCATCTCTTGGCAGATTTGTGCTTTT